ATGGCGTCAAGTCCCTTAGAGGCCTACAGTTTTCGCTGGAATTCCTGAGGAATGTGACTGTTGTTTCAAGAGAAGGATAGAGCTCAAAATTTTCATCGTTTTAACCATCTTGTTGAAACGGTGCTGTAGATTGTATATATTGTTGTATATAGGTTTGTTAAAAGTACAATATTTTTTGTTTTAAAATTCACACAACTTTGTGTAAGTGTAGAAAGTTAAATTTTATTTCATTGATGTAAAAAAAAATTGTAAAATATTATGCATTTAAAAAATAAAAAAAAATGCAATTTAATTTAATTTAAACTCAAGTAGACTCATTTGTTTGCTCTTCAGATAGCTAACGATTTGGCTCAATTTACCAAATTTACTTATACTTCTTTCGAATATGATTATAGTTTATATCTGACCACTTGCAGCCCAGAGGCTGAATTACGAGCGCAGTGTAAGGTTGAGAACAGACGTTAGCATATCAGGCGCCTCTGGCAGCCGCTTCAGTCTATCGATCTCACCTTCCCACCCATCCCACCCCAGGGGAGGACATCCATCCCACAGTAATCTCGTGTGAGGGAAATTAACGTCTCCTACCCCAACCCTGCAAGAGACGGGACCTCCATTTATTCGTCCCTATCCGAGAAGGCTAGAATATCTAACCATTTCTTGATGTTATAGAAAGGTAGCAAATTCTTCTCAATTATTTTAAGACCTTGAGTGTTGGTCCGGCCAGGGCTCGAACCCTCGACCTCCCGCACAACAATCCAGCGCTCTATCCATTGAGCTATCCGGGAGGCGGTTATGCACATCTTTTTCGTATCAATAAGCGTGCTTTTTACGGCTATCCTTACACCAGGGGTGACAGTAACAGAGCGGTTCACCTCTGGTATACTGTACAGAACTGTTGCTCATGGGACACTCGGGACTACCGGTTTATAAAATGCTCCCATGACCAGAAGTATCTCTCCACGGAAGATGACAGATATAAATGTTTGAAGTATCCTAATGAAAACGTTTCTGGATCCACACTGACAGCTTTGTATTGTCTAGTGATTTTTGATTGGACACACAAAACTTGGTTCTTTTTCAACCGAGGAAATCAAAATCAGATGCAACTTTTTGGTTCTTAGGCAGACTAGGTGGGGCTAAGTTAAGTCATCCTGCCTGGGAAAGGGGGGGGGGGTAGGGCTCTGAAGAGACAATTGCATTTTTATTAGGTTTGATGGGGCCATTGAGACGTCTGTTTCTTCCTTGCCTTTGTTAAATCTCTTTGCTCTCTCTATAGCCTGCTTGCAGGTAGCTGTATGTGTTTTCAAGCCCAAGTTTCCATGCTGTGAATATTCAGTTGCCATATTGGATGGGTGGAAGATTTATAATGAGTGACAAAGCAAGGGGTAGGGGGAGTATAACCAAAAGATCTCTCCTTTCCCATCCTCCACTCGCTTTGTCACTTGTCCAAAATCTTCTACCTATCCTACATGGCTAATGAATATTCGCTGTGCTGAATCTTGCCCTTGAAAACACAACCGCCTGCAAGCAAGCTATTCTTTCTATGTCCTGCCACTTTCCACAATTTTTATCCTCCATTAGAGGATGTTATTCCCTAACTATGCAAAAAGAAATCAGAGATCATGCATTGTGACATTCCTTTAATTAGTAGCCAATTGCCTTAAATAATTACACAATCCATTACCTCTACAAGCTGTAGAACTTGACTTCACACCTCATTCAATCTTCATAGGTCAGTACAGTGATCATGGCTATGTAAATGCTACTTTTTCATGTGCCCTAGTTAATGGAAGTTTTTCTTAATACTATTCATATGAAGACTTTTTTTCTTGGCATGATCTAAGAAAACATGTGTCAAAAGAAAGAGGGTCTTGGGTATGCAGCCCCCTTCCACATTACTTCCCATCACACCCTAGGGTTTCTTTTACTTGTCTAACAAAAAAAATTCTTGCTATAACAGGATTAAATATTGCAAACCAAATTGCTGTTTGTTTGCTTGTTTGTGAAAATGTGTCTGTGAAGAGTGCCTTCTGAATCAATGCCTAGAGTTCCCTATCAAAACTTTGTGGATCTGGTGTGAAACTGCGCAACTGTATCTGTAATAAATGGTATGTCATGCCAGTAATTTGAAGAGATACAAAAAAGGTTCTTGAAAATTGAAAGTTGGATATGGTCTAGATAGAATGAATAAAAATTTTTGTTGTCACTGACTAAAAAACTTTGTGAGGATGTTTCGGTTAAAATACTGTAACCTTCTTCAGCAATAAAATGGCTACGAAAGTAAATGAGTGCTTTAAAAAGAACCACAGAAATGTCACTTGGGATTGCCAAGGGCCTTGTAAATGTCAGGAATGTAAATTTGTTTATTAATGGCATTCGGTTCACAAATTGAATGTCACACTTCTAAAAATAATCTTTTCGACCATAGGGAACCGAATGCCATTAATGAACACATTTACATTCCTGACATTTACAAGGCCCTTGGCAATCCTAAGTGATGTTTCTGTGGCTCTTTTTAAAGCACTCATTTGCGTTGGCAGTCATTTTATTGCTGAAGAAGGTGAATGTAAAATTCTTAATTTAAGTCTTCGCTTTTGAGCACAAATCCTGTGTAATAAATTCCAATATCACAAACTAATCATTCAGTTTCAGTTCTTTGCATATAAGCTGCATATGCTGCCTTTTGATACTGAACTGCTGCCTGAACAGGATCTTCAGCCTGATAGATACCTCTTCCAACTATTATAACATCACTGCCTCGGTTTATAATGACTTCTTCCGGGGTGAGGTACTGTTGGCCAAGCTTATCTCCTCCAGCACTAAGCTGTACCCCTGGGGTCATATGAACAAACTGAGGATCATTGACCAAACATGACAAGCTTATGAAACCTATGACAAAGTCTTTGTGAGCCTTTGCCATGTCTGCCGCAGCCTTGGTGTAGTCACCAGTAGCCAATGTTCCCTTAGAACTCATTTCGCCAATTAGCAGACATGCCCTTCCAAGTGGTGCACCAACTTCTTTGAGGCCATTAATCACACCATCTCCTGGAACTACATGTGCATTAACCAAGTCTGCCCATTCTGCAATATGATACAACCCTTTGGAGTACTGATTCTTCACAGTGTTGCCTATGTCAGCAAACTTCCTATCCTCAAAGACCAAAATGTTGTGCTTTGCAGCAAGCATTTGAAGTGATTTGACAAATTCTGGGGTGAAATCTTCCAGAATGTCAACGTGTGTTTTCACGATGCAAACATAGGGCCCAACCTTGTCAACAAGGCTCAAAACTTTATCACAGCTGGTGAAATCAACTGAGACTGCCAGGTTTGATTTCTTGTTATGCATCACTTCAAATAATTTTTTGGTTACTGAATTAGTAGCAATCTGCGCTCTTGCTTCGAAGCTTAGTTTGCTTCCTGGTTTGGCTGGTACCTTTGCAACTGCTGCCGGCTCAAACTTGTTTCTTGACAGAAACTCCCTTACTTTTCCCGCCATTTCTTGATCAACTCTTCCCTTTGCCAAAAGCACCTCAAGAACTTCGGGGAGCGTTAGAAGACTGTGAAGCGTAACACCCTGAAATTGAAGCATCTCCTTTCCGCCTTGAAAGCGGTCTAACAAAACTATAGCGTCCGAAACGACTAGCTCTACCGAAGCAAGGGCCTCTACTGTTTCAAGGACACTTGAGCCACTTGTGACGACATCTTCGATTACCAGGCACTTGCTCTTCAGATTAAAAACTCCCTCGATCAGCCGCTTCGTTCCGTATGATTTAGCTTCTTTCCTTCTCATCACCATTGGGACATTTTGGCCCACAGAGATAGCAGACGCAATCGGCAAAGCAGTGTAAGGAACGCCACAAATCACAGAAAAATCTGCTCTCGATGAGGTAGCGACATCCCATAGCATACCACTGATCTGCTTCAGAATTTCCGGATATGAGACGATCACACGCAAGTCAACATAAACTGGAGATTGTTTTCCGCTTTTCAAGGTGAAATCGCCAAATTTTATGGCCTGAATATCGTGTAACTTTTCGATCAGACTTTCCTTCTCTCGGACCATGTTGGAACCTGGAGAACATTCACGTGGACTTGGAGTAGCGGTTGCACAATAGAGGAATCGCGGGCTCAGCACCGCCATATTGAAAATGTGCTTTCCTTGCCTTTTGCCGATGCTTTCGTTCGTCCTGGGTTGAGATCGTGTTGTTCGGTAAATAGATCGAAAATGCCTCTTCCTCCGGCTCTTCAAGCTCGTCTTGCAAAGAGAGGGATAATTCAGAAAGGTAAAGTGATCTTAAAGGGTGTGTTTGGGATTTCGATTATGTGAACATCGGTGGAACACTTGCATGTCAAGATAGAAGTGTGTTTAATTATATGTGGGAGGGAATTTGATCATTGTAATATTTCACAGCCTTATTGGTTTTATAAATCGCTCTAACTGAAGAAAATTTTTGATTGGAAAGCCGTTGGAAAGTTAATGCACTTTTCGCTTAATTGTTGGCTTTCATGTAGTGCAACCTTAAAACAATGACAATAATGGCCGCTTGAAGCGATCTACATGAAAATTCTCCCTGTAGTGTCCATACATNGGGACCTCCATCTTTTCATCCCTATCCGAGAAGACTAGAATATCTAACCATTTCTTGATCAATGTTATAGAAAGGTAGCACATTCTTCTCAATTATTTTAAAACCCTGACTGTTGGTCTGGCTGGGGCTCGAACCCTAGACCTCCCGCACAACGGTCCACAGGGAGGTTCAGTAGTTTATCATGATTTTGGTGTGAATCATGGTACTATTCGCAGGAAAATGTAACTTGTTGGTAGTTCAGAGTTAACTTAAGTTAAAAGAGTGACTGGCATTTAATTTCTCCTTACAATATCAGCTGAATCAAGCATGAAGGTTAGGAGAATAAAGGAAATGATCACCGACTAAACAGCAGGGCTGTGTTCTAGCAATCCCCAGTGGCCTCTGGTGCCTTGCTTTTGCCCTTGGGCAACTCAGGAATCTTAATTTTCTCCCAAAAAGCATATGCTGGGCACCCTGGATTTCACAGTTTCAGAGCACTGAGCTCCCTTCAATTATTCTTAGAGCACAGCCTTGAAAGAGGCTCTTTAACAATTATTCTACAAGTGCGCATTGGATATGAGATGATAGATAGCCAATAAGGCACAGAGCGCCGAGTTGGCTATAATCATCTCACATCCAACAAATGCAAGTGGAATCATTGTTTTATTAAAAAAATTGCCCCCAAGATATTAGACAAATCTACTCGACTTTATTTTGTAAAAAGAAACTGGATGTTACAATGTACAGATATTAGATTATGGTATATTAGCTCATATATCATGATAATGGCTAAGCCAATAAAAAGTCATGAATTGCATTATCCAGTGATCCAGTTTTTAATAATGACTGTTATCCAAATTCTCCTACTGATTTAAGAGTGTGAATGGTTAGGTAATAAAACAGTTTTCGCCATACTTTCTTGTTGTTGATACAATGCAGATAAAGATAAAACTGATGAACCAAGTAGAGGAGATGGACCTGTCCAAGGCTGTCCAAACACATCAAACCCATATCACACATGTGTGGAATATTGTGGAAAAAGATATGGTGAAAATGCAATAGCTCCTCAAGTAAAGGTGAGAATTTAAGATTAATGGTTCTTAACCCAGCTGCATTAGTAGAAAAGAGTTTTCAGAGTAGTCATTGACTGTCTTGCTTGATTGGCTAGTGGAAGGTACATAATCCTGAAAATAACTGTTGTCATTGATGGTAACTAATGTTTTAACATACTGGCCTTTTCAAGTTTGACACCTATTTTGGGGAACCTGTATCAAGGGGTTCCCTCTTGATTCTCTGTGGGTGACTGGGCTGGTATGTATGTTAAATGGTGTGGTTTTATTGTAAAAAAAAAAGATTTATTTCCCCTTTCCACGATATCACGAGTTTAAGCTGTGCTTTATAGGTACTTACAGTTGATTGGTAATTATTTCATTGTTTTATCTTGTCAGGATTACAGTGCTGTACCATTACCCGTTGGATGGTACTTGGTACCAGATCCCAATAGGTAGAGCAAATTGAGCGATATTTTCATTTAAAAAAAAAAATTCGATATTAACGTTTCAGATAAGTTGTTAGTTGATTCAACAAATTCATTGCTTTCGTTTGTGAGCCCTTCAAATGAGTTGAGTATGGCTGTTCTGATCCCAGCAGTACTGAAAATAATGAAAAAAAATTACTTAACATTTCTCTTGCTTTGTATGGCTAAACAGCTGCTCCATCGATTTTAAGAAGCAGTAAGGTGACCTGCCTGCAATGGCCTTTGATCTGATTGTTAATTCTCCTCTCTGGTTGCTGTATATTTCCTTGTAAATTAGTTACAAGAATTTGTTATAAGATCAAGACATTTGCTTCTCCCTGACAAGCTTGTCTGAGTATTTTCAGTACCTTTTTGCTAAACAATGTATGGATATTATTGTGAGAAGTTACATGTTAATCACTTATGGGAGTTTAAAGAGTAAGGACTGAGTAGAAAATTGATTTCTCAAGTCAAGCTCACAAAATCTGAAAAAACCATTATTATTAAAAAAATCAACGGCTTTGGTCCCTTAACCCTTAAACTCCCAGAAGTGATCAACAGGTAAGTTATCCCTATAGTATCTATACATTGTCAAGCAAACAGGTAATGAGAATACTCAGACTTATCAGGTAGAAGTTGGGATTTGATTGAACATCAAATTCTCATTGCCAATTTACAGTGAAATGTGTAGCAGTTACAGGAGAGAATTTACAATCAGATCAGAAAGGGTTATTTAAAAGTATATACTACATTTACTTTATTTGATTACATGACTGACCTCCTTTTAATTATTTTTTATAGTGGTTCCAGGTATTATTGGAACACTCTTACCAATCAAGTGTCATGGCTTCACCCATTAGGTAAGAAAATTGTGTCATTGATTAATATAATCTATCATGAAACGTGATTGTAGAGTTTAGGGATTTCCCTGAGAAACTTGGTAGTTGAACTACCGTTAAGGAACAAAATATTTACATATGAAAATATCTTTTAATGGAGACTTTCCTTGAATCTCAAAATGATTCATTACATGAAATGTTGGGCTCATCATAAATGTCAGCACATGACAACATGATATGATGAATTTTTGATAATGACTTCTTGTAGCAGATTTTAGCTTCCTTTGTTTGAGTGCAGTACTGATCAGTTAGTGTTAACAATTCAATCTTCACCAGATCCCGAGTCAGAAATAACTCTCCCCTCATCTGTGCTGGACAAACAAAAAGGTACGTGAAATTATCACCTCAAAGTTCAATTTTTTTTTTTTGACAGTTTTCTTTTCTTGTCCAGGAATCAATTTATATTTATTTTGTTGCCAAATGTTTTTGCTCATTTTATATTACTCTGTTTCAATAAAATCACAAATAACTTTCTGGTGACTTGTGGTTTTGAAGGAAAAGCTGTCATTTGTTAGTAAAAGTGTAATTTCTAATCAAGTAAAACAATTTTCAGTTTGTAAGGATGCACTTTGTGCAGTATCGTGATTTAAACCCAACATAATTATGTTGTTTCAGTTTGTTCCATACCTGTGAAGCAAAAATTTCCAGTGCTACTACTATGTTGAATGTTTAGTTTTGTCCAAAGTTTGATAATGCAAATAGGGACTGTGTACAGATTTATGTGTACAGTGTTGGTGTGTGTGCATTCCAGAGTTCTTGTGCAAGGGTGCTAATTACACTGGTTTTGCAAGAAGAAATCTATGCTGTGAAATACTGTTTAACAACCTGATTTGATGACCTTTTTCAGAGGATCAATCAGAAGTTCAAGCCAACAGAGAAATCCTTGCACCACCAGGGGTGGACATAGAACAAGATAAGGAACAAGTATTGAGTATTGGCAAACATCCCAGTCTTATGAAGGTAATAAATGGAAGGTAAACGGATACATCCTTCTGCTTACAATTATTCATTAAAATGTGGTATGTAAACAATACCCCCTTTTATGGCGTGAAATTGAGCAGGGATTTTTGTGTACAGAAATTATCTGTTCCAAGATGTGCTCAGTTTTCCTAGAGAAAACTTCAAGGAAAACTGTTAGCTTTAAGGAACAGATAATGTCTGCCAACAAATAGAGGGTAAATATTGTGTTTATTATCCTTCAAATATTTTGCAATGAGCATGTAATTGTTGTATGTTGGTTCTGAAAAGCCTCAATTGGGTGTGGTTAATTATAACTATTATTGTCATCATCATTATTGTTGTCATCAACATCATCATCGTCAAAGCTGCATTTCATTTGATTTTTATTTTGTTGTTTAGGGTTCACAAAAGCGACAAGAAGCAGCAGTAAAAAGAAAACTTGATAAAGGTACTGAATACAAGAATGACTTTCTCAAGTACTTTTCCAAACTTGTACAAAATGCATGGTGTAATAAGCTTATTCTCTCCTTTTTTAAATTTATTTATCTTTTTTATTTTTCACTCTTGTATGCCCTCTTTCTGTTATTTTCTGTAGATACAAGGGCTGAAAAGCGTAGAAAGTCCGAAGAAGTCGACCCCATGGATCCAGCAGCCTATTCTGATGCTCCAAGGTATTGTTTTGCTCTTACCAGCAGACTAGATGCTTCAATTGTTACAATAATCATTCCATAGCTTCTCTCTCTTTTTTTTTTTTTTTCCAACATGGGTAAAACTACTAACTGCTTATTTTCCACAGTGGAACATGGGCAACAGGGTTACTCAAGAAGGGAGAAGCAAAGACAGGTGTAGATACAACTGCTAATGGACCATTGTTCCAAATGAGACCATATCCCAGTCCTGGAGCAGTGCTCAGAGCAAATCAGCAACTATCACAGAAAAGTGCTGTGGAGACATCTGAGTAAACTTCAGTGAAAGTGCTTCACAGCTGAACTATTTCCTTTTTTAATGGAGTAGTGTTACAGATTTTGAAAGAAGAAAACTTTGTTTTATGACTCTGTAGAAGATTAGTGTTGTGTGAAAGCACGGCTTGGTAGCTTTTATTTGGAAGGTCATACACTAGGATTTTAACAGAAGAGCTCAAAGAAAGAACTACATGTAACAGTATTATAAATAGTACCACAACAAAGAACTGGCCCAGTAGCTTTTTGAAGAATGACAAACAGAGGTTTTCACCAAATGGCACAAAGTCAGAAAATTTGAATAACCGTGGGTAAGCTGTTTAAGCATGGCCTAGAGATGGGAAGAGATGAATCTTAAAGTCTTTCTCATGAGAGCAAAAAAGATGCATTCGCATATACTGTGAATGTTTCCAGTGTTTTTCAGCATCAATTCATTAAATAATATAGTTGGTTATATGGACTCTTGGTTTCATCTGTCTGTATAGTACATGCAATATATTGCATGAAACCAGTAGTTTCAACATGAACATTGCTTCACTCTTGCTATTCAGTGGTTTAGAGATAAACAATTTTTTTGAGTAAATATTTTATTTAAGAATGTCCCAAAAAAACTGTGAGATGTTGAAATGTGTGTCGCTTGTCTTTATTTCCAAATTAAGAAATAAAGAGAACTTGTTAAACTATGGATGTTGTTTTTTGTAGTTAGTTAGCCCTTTTTGTGAATCTATGCACATAAGGCCTCATACAGAGAACATCATTGATTTCTGTTGGTTACCAGTTGGTCAAGAGGAGTTACACCCAATTCTAGCCTCAGTCTGTCATTTTCATTTCTATGGCTCTCCTGCAAGTTTATTTGGGGCTCGAAGGAGAAAGGATGGAAGAGATTTTTCAAATTACTTCCTCTTAAGTCAAGTTAAGTTAATCATACAACAATATTTGCAGTAGGAAAGTAGTTCCTACATGATTGTTGAACGAAGTCAGAAACAAAATTTGGTCAGTTTTCGGGTCACGCAGTTTCTTCATTTTTTTTTCTTTTTCCGTTCACTTAATTTACCAACGAAGGGATTCATGGGTAAATTAATTTTTTTCAGCGTGAGATCTGGTGTTTAGTTTACAATCGGCCCAACTGTCGATCTGAAGTTCTTCTTCGAAAACTTCAAAAATGTCATCCATACTTAATACATAATACTACATAATGCCTTAAAGAAGTCCTTTCTGTCATGTCTGGCTTAAAAAAATTATTCAAGAAGAAGAGTCCAAGTGCGAAGAACACCCTGTCAACGGAAGACCTTAGTGATGCCGCCAGCATTGCTTCGGGTTACTCGATCCCTAAAGACAAGGATTTACCAAAGCTCCATAAAGCTGTTTGGAACGGAGATTTCACTAAAGTGAAACAGCTTGCAAAGAAAGGAGACGTCAACCAACTTGACAAGGAAAACAGGTAACTATGAGGAGGATTGGTTTACAGGTAATAAGCGATAGTAAATTTCCTCCAAGTCGCGGTAAAGATGGTGTCGTTTCTTTGGTAACTCGTTTAGCGTCCTCTGGCTTTCATCCCAAATGGTTAATTACACACCATCTAGCCTACTTTCTTTGTATTCAGTAAATCGCTCAACGGAAATAACTTTTTGAAAAGTTCTATTTCGTAATATTATGCTGCAAAAAAAAGAAGATCATTTTCTCAATAACTAAATTATTACTATATACTCGTATTTTAATATACACAAAGTATGTGTTAATGGTTTGCGTTTGTTTTGTTCGAGATGATTGAAATATTTTATCGTGGTCGTCATTGATTGTTGTAATTGGGCTTAGTAACACCATGATAAATCGATTTACACAGCTGGCGACCACAAGAAATGACTTTCAGATCTTTGAAGAAAAAAAAAAATATGTTCCTCACTTCTGAAATATTTTAATAAAAACTGTCTTAGTAACTACAGACCCCACTGAATTTTATATTATAATGAATTTCTTTGATTTTGTTTTGACTGAAACATTATTTAGTTAATATCAATTAACTCACATCCCTATTCATGTTGCGTTTTTGACGTTTCACCATTGTGAAGAGGTTGGGGTAAATTTAATTTTCCCAACCGAAAAGATGCAGAGGAATAATTTTCTTGAAGGAGTGCCATATTCAGTGAGATAGCCATGATCACTGCTAAATTTCTTGATGTTGCCAAGGTGGAATTGAGGTGAAACTATTTCAACCCTATAAAGAGCCAATTTTAATGATATTTTATGGTCTAAAATTTAGCCAATGTAGTTATAAATCAATTTTGAGTGACAAATTGCTATTTTAAATGTCTTGCCAATTTTTTTTTGGTTAGAACTGCTCTTCATCTCGCCTGCTCTCAAGGTAAAGAGGACATTGTAAAGTTTCTCTTGGCCAATAATGCCAAGACAAATCTCTGTGACAATTATGGAAGAACACCACTTATGAAGGTGAGAACCATGATGATTGTTAAGTCACACATTGCATTTGCTCATGAGTGTCTATTGCATTTGCTCATGAGTGTCTATTGCATTTGCTCATGAGTGTCTATTGCATTTGCTTGTGGAGTGTCTACAGTCCTGGGTACTTATATAATTAACTCCCAGAAGTGATTAACATGTAACTTCTCCCTATAATATCCATACATTTTCCAGCAAACAGGTAATGAGAATACCCAAACTTATCAGGTGTAGGTTGTTAATTCTTGATCTAACACTAAATTCTCACAACTAACTTACAAGGAAATATATGGTAGCTAGAGGGAGAATTTACAATCAGATCTTGGGAGTTACAGAGTTAACTGAGCTAGGTCAGGCTGGACAGGAAAATATTTGGTCTGTGTTACCTGACAAGTTCATGTTTAGTCCATCTTTCATAAATCACAAATCACTTTACTTGTACTCTTGAAATGGAACAGTCTTCAAGTGGCTGATAAAGTTAATTGCATTGTTCATTGGGAAACATCTTCATTTATTATGGCTACAAAACTTCCTCTGGATAAGCTATGTTCTTATACTGAAAAGGATGGTGATCTTCTAAGATGGAAAATCTTAGTAAGATCTCAATAAGATTTCTACCTGGGTGAGAGCTGAATATGTTCCCATGCCACCCAACCTAGGCGTTTTTTTATTATTCTTCCAGTTCTTCTGTGGAATTAGGCCTCACGATTCTTTTATTCTGCTCTGTTCAAACCATTGCACACAGCCCATAATTATTGTTGTCAACAACCTCTTCGTCATAATCCTCGCCATGGTTAATGGGTCTACATTTTGAATTTTCGGTAACAGGTAGTTGAATGCCAGTTCCTAGAGTGTGTTAAAATTTTGCTGGAACATGGAGCCCAAGCTGATGTCATAGACGTTAACAACAGCACACCACTACATCTTTCAGCAGCCAATGGTGACGTTGACATAGCAGTGCTTTTGTTAGAGAGAGAAGCAAAGGTTGATGCGAAAGATAAGGTACAGTAGGGATGCTGCAGTGGTCAGTCCAGAGATCTCGAATCTCTAGGGATATGATTAAATTCTGTTTTAGAATAGTCATTGAATGGATTTGAAATATTTGGGCTTAATTAAATACTTTTTTAGGTGATGCACAAGTTTCCTTTCTGGAACACAACCAAGATTAGAAGATAGAATTAGTTACTAGCAGAAGTTAATCTAATTTAATTTAATTTTATTTTAATTTAATTTTAACTTAATATTAATTTTAATTTTAATTTAATTTAATTTAATTTATTAGATTCACTGACAGGCAGGGACACTGCAACAGCTTGCGCCAATTACTACGGGCCCAGTTAACCCACTCATCCCACCCCAGGGGAGGACCTCCATCACACAGTAATCTCATGCATGGGAAATTAATGTCTCCTACCCCTAACCCTGCAGGAGACAGGGCCTCCAGTTTCTTAGTCCTTATCCAAGAAGACTAGAATATCTATCCATTTCTTGATATTATAGGAAGGTAGCAAATTCTCCTCACTTATTTTAAGACCACGAGTATTGGTCCGGCCGGGGCTCGAACCCTCGACCTCCCGCACAACACAATCCAGCGCTCTAATCAATTGAGCTAACTGGGGGGCTAATCTTTTGGGCTTAAGTTCACAATTGTTGGAAGTTGAAGGTATTTAGGCTCAGGATAAACTCCTGAGCTAGGTTTTTCAATTGAAAGCTGGGTTAAGATAATCCAGGATGAGTGTATGATCTGA